ACACACACACACACACACACACACACACACACACACACACACACACAGAAAGTAAAGACTTCACGGAAAGGATCATAAAAATAAACAGGTTAATGGTGAACTTAGATTATTTAGACTATTATTTGTTGTCATTTTCTTAGACTCTTATATGCTCATCTGATCCCGTGAGAGCTGTGTCATTTCTTCCATCTGTACATCTGTTGCACATCTGTTTAATTGGTTTATTTTCTGTTTTCTGTATGTGCTGTTTTCTGTGTGTCGTGAAAAATAATCAATCAGTGATCTTTTTTTAATGGTCATTGTAGCGTTGATGCACCATGTACTAGGTGCAGATTGGGCATATGATGTTTTCTGGGAGGAGTTTCAACTTTTGTCAGATAGAAAGGTGGTTAACTTTTATTGAAATATCTCAAATAAGTGTCTTTCAGTTAATGTTGCTTAAGATCTTCCTCATGATTTTTGAGACTTGACCTGGTTTTTCTGTGTTTCATTGATTAACATTGCCATCTTGTTTTTTCCCTTTTACATTTTTTTTTATCAACAATTTCGAGCAGCTTTTGGCCCAAAACATTTCTAGTTTTCCGTATAAATTCACTGCAAGTAAAATAAGTTTATCATCACTTTTAAACTAAAAACTAAAACCTCCAGAAAACGACCAGCTGCTGCCAGTTTCAGGTTAGCACAACTCAAAATGCTCCAGGGTCACAAGTGAATGACAACCTGATAATAAGACAGACTGCACTTGAGGAAAACCTTCAGACCTCTATCACAGCTGAACATACAGACCTCATAAATGATACGTGACTTGTTGTGATACACAGAAGCTGGTGAAACTCTTCAATCTCAACAAGAAAACCAGAGTTTACAACCCAAGTCTACATTTTCCACATGCATCTACTTTTTGGTAAATGTGTGTGCTGCACACTGGCTGTTGTGAAAATTGTTTAACAAAACATTCATAAATACAATTTATTTGTCTGTTATAAATATTTGACAGTAAGCACAAAAAACTACACAATTCAAAAACCTTGTAACAACAGTTTCAGAGTTGCTGTGTAAACATATCGGACCAAACACGAGGTGGTATTTTTTACAAACTATATTCTGATGATTTAGCTATTCTTACAATCACACCAGTAGTGGAGCCTAAATTGTGAGGATAGAAAAGGTCACTAAAATGAAAACAGTTCATCCTCCAGGGAGCAGGAATGACAGATTTCATGGTAATTTCTCACATTAGATTATGATTTTTCTTTGGGACATGAAAAAAGCAGATGGTGGTGTCTGAGGAGAAATCAGAAAGTCTATAGAAAACTATAGGATTCATCCTCTGGTGAGCATGAATATTAGTACAGCTAATGTAATAAAAAAAAAGGACAACTTCCACTCAGGTGCCAGGAGTACAGAACTGCACATTGTTCACCAGTCATGATGTCTTCACAGTATATAATATTTATATTTAGAACGTCTGGCTTTACGGTCAGATCACCACAAAGCAAACAGCTAGCGCCCACATTAGCCATGGAAGCTAGCATTAGCTAGCTGCCTTATTTCCTGATTTAAATAACCTTGTAAATTAACAAACACACACCTACAAATACAGCTTACATGATTTTTCTATTGTTGTCCAAAAGTGACACAAAACACTTATAATATATATATATATATATATATATATATATATACGTTTTGTTCAGCAAGATCATTTTCTCAGATGAACACCACTTCTGTGATTTTTGAAGCGTGATACGATTGTCAGAAGTAAAAAGCTAATGTTAGGCTACAAAACAAACTCCACCACAGATCGTGAGTATAAACAATGAGGCTGTGAAGGCGGACTAGTCGGCGTGATGGCGTTTTTTCTTCTCTTTTAGCCACTTGTTAACAAAAGGGTAAAAATTCACGAAAGGGGTATTTACTGATGTATTTTTATGTTGTAGAACCAACGATAAAATCTCTTCCGCTTGTGTTAAGCACAGACCTTATTTCCGACATTTAACCAAAACCCCATTATAAAACCTATTGACTTCGAGACAAGGGAACCAGAAGTGTAAAAATGCTGACTCATGCGATAATTATTCTGGGCGTAATATTAACCACTAAAATGTTGCTTTGTAGACATTTTAGTAGAGCAATACAGGAACAACTGTGACAAAGTTTGTGGGCTGGAATAGAAAACGCAGCACGCCATGCTTAGATGGATCCTTCTGGATTCCTTTTTCTCCAACATGGGTGGCCTCA